CGCGATCGTAGCTCTATGTCACACACCGCCACAACTCTGAAAAACGAAGGACGCTGTTGAGCTGAAAAGCTGTCACTATATTTACATTTCACACCTCTTATGCCTGGTGAGGATAAAAACTCTGGTGGCTCTTTAGTACTCGATGACGTCACGTGAAACCCATCTATACGGTTACTCCCAGGTTACTCCAGACTTCTCCCAACTGCCCGCGTGCATCCATAACTCAAGAGTCATGTAGCAGTTCTCTCGATAACTTTTAAGGGAATAATAGTAGACAACAGAAACAATGTACTACGCCCTAAAGCAATAACAGCTGGCACAATAATAAATTAATTAGTAGCAGCTTATGAGAGCTACTACTTGTTTTATTTGTGGTTGACGACAAAGTTCAGGTCTTTCTGGAGTACTGGATGCAAATGAATCGCATTGTATTTACCTTTTTTATCTCTTTCGTTGTAGTTTAGAACAGTATTTTATGTTATCTTTATTTCTTTTGTATTACGCCATCTGCGACCAGTATCAACAGATGGAACTCAAATTTCTCACAATGAACGATGAAGGAAAACAAAGCATCCTATTGGCTGGTTAAAACACGCTACCAGTTGACTTGATCTGCTTTCTAAAATTAACAACGAAAATTCGTTTCTTCGAATTAAATAAAATGTAAGCAGACAAAGTCTAAGTACTTCATTAAGTTTAGTAAACATATTAGCTTGGCGAAAGTCAAAACAATGTTCACATTGCCAAAACTCCTAGCTATACTAAACACAAGCTTTGCAGCTGATATGAAACTGTCGTGTTACTTATGCCGACAGGCGAACATGTACACTCTTTTTTTATTTTATAAGAACATCTAATTTTGGAGCTGAGGCTGAACGTTCTTACATTTTTTTGCGATCTGAGGCTGAAAACGTTCTTAAGACGTTCTTAAATTTACATGGTATACTTTGTATCACCTGATGACTTTGATGATGTGGAAGTTATTTTGGAACAGTTATAAATAATCGGCGTTGTCTTCGGCGCCTTTCATACATTATCAACAATTTAACTCGACGAATATTAAAAAAGAACAAATTTTCGCTTAAGCATCACAAACCTACCAACAATAACATTCTTAGCTTTTCATTTCGAATAAAAATAATGCTACTTATTATCCAACTGCAGCGAATGCCGTCCAAATAACAGTACAAATGTACAGCGATATTGCACAGTTATTTGTACTGTAGAAAACCTGTTTGCCGGACACATCGACGCGCCCACGCAAAACTGTCAAATTCTTCCTCTTTCACTGTGAAATTTATTGACTACAGCAGTTGGATAATCTCTTTTTATAGATGTTTCGGTGTGTTGTATCGCTGTATATTTTTACGCGTTGTTTGTATTTTGACTCGCCCTACGGTCTCGTCAAAATACGGCACAACTCGTAAAAATATACAGCGATACTACACACCAAAACATCTAATAGGATGTATGTAATCGATACACTTACCACAAGTCATAAAGATGCATTAGCTTCGTCCTTTAATGCACAGCGAATGATTCTATCGGTTTCGAAATGATCACCAAAACTTAGAACAAAACGGTACGCTTCAGGATCAGCCTGTGTCGTCTGTGCTTCGTCTTAACATGCTGATTATCAACATCTTACTGTGTCGGCGTCAGCTGATGCTTGTGCTTAAGCGCTAGTTAGTTTATGAAACCCTTCAAAGTTCTCTGTTGTATGTTTTCGTTCGCTTTTTTGGCCTTGACCGTGCACAAAACACAATAGTTGTTTACTCCTTACTGAGAAACTAACCAATAGAAACGTATTGGTTACGTAATTCATGCATAGTGTATGAGCGCAAAACAAAAGATTGTGCACGGTCGTAGACCTTCCAACATAAATCTTGGCATCTTTGTTTGCTCCTTTGATGTTTACCGGGCTTCATAACCAGTCCCCTCTACTAACTATGTTAAAACCAACCTTTAAAGTCCGATTCCATTGGTTTTTTTTTTCTCTGTCTATTTCTTCTGATCTTCTGATTGTTATTCATAGACTGTCCATTGACGTTACATGCAGGTGTTATATTTTAGTTTCGCCCAAGAAAGTCACGCAATTCACACAGCGTTAAAAGCTATGCTATGTGAAAATAAATTCCGTGCTTTTAATCTTTTTTTCTTCTGTATTTGCCCTTCTGGTTGTATATAGGGCCAAAGCCAGAAAAAAGTATACGGGCTAGGGTGTCTACGATGCCTATAAAAAAACGAAAGAAACTAACAACAGGGCCGAGGCAAGTGCTGCGGCCCTGCTATAACGAAGATTTGACAATACATTCGTTACTTTGGCTTCCAGACATTTAGTAGTGGTAATTTCCATTCCACTACTGTGTTCATCGATTGTAATGAAACGTGCGAGGAAGATAACCACCCGGGGAGGACTCCCTCAGAAAAAAGACGGGAACGCTCGTCGGAAATTTTGAAAAGGAC